TGTTGTGAACAGAAGAGGTTGGACACAAGTTGCGCTTCGATAACCTAGTACCACGTCCCCAACCTGTGCAGCCATGCCGGTGCCGGGAAAGATCCGGAGTACTCGTGAGTTGATTATCAACTCCGGTATAAAGCTATGATTAATCATGTCTGATAGAGGGCTGCTGGACATGCCGTCTGCGCCGGAAGAAGTGCGATGAGCAGAAACCAAACTGTTCAATATGTGCCTCATTAGAGATCACCTGCCTCTACAGCGACAAGAAGCCTGAATGGATGGATGGCGGTGCTCGCGAAAAGAAGATGGCCGATGATCTCAAAGCCATGGTGAAAGCCAAGGCCAACGAGCGTCGCGAAAGGAAGTGGGCGACAGAGATCCCGGTCGATGAATCAGACAATGGGTCGGCCGCCCCGACAAGCAACGATGCCATGTTGGCGGACAGCATGGCGGATCACACCCTTGACTCCACCGCGGACCACGAGATGGGTAACAGCAGCGGCCCTTCCTTGTATACGCCAGCCACGAGCGCAACAGAAGGCTCTCCTGTCACCCACACATCGCCAGAAGATCAAGTCGCCGGCCCCAGTTTGCAAGTGTTCGAGCCAATGCTGGCGGACTCGGATCTTTCAGGCCACGTCGACGTCCACATGAAGCCCCATGCAAAGAAGCCCTGCACGAGTGATGATTCTGAGAGGGAACTGAACTTCACAATGATATATCTTGATGCGGTGGTGCCCTACATGTGCCCCTTCTACAGGCCACCTCTATTACAGGGCGGGCGCGGGTGGCTTTTGGTGCTCCTCATGAGAAACAAGTCTCTTTTCCACACGGCATTGTCCCTCTCTTCCTATTTCTTCTCCGTCATGGTGAATAAGACCATGCTCGGCCACGAGGAATGCCAGAAGACCAACTGGGCGGAACTTCAAAAACAACAAGGGCTGTCTATCGAATCTCTCCAAAAGAGCCTGCACTGTCTCAACTCCCACGGTGTCGCCAATCTATTCCGCGAGAGCATACAAACGCTGGAGTGTATAATCCAGATGATATCGTTTGATACTATTATTGGAAACGCAACAAACTGGAACGTGCACCTCGACGCTGCTTGTTCTCTTTTTGAACAGATCATCCAACACCATGCCACAGACCGCGAACAGCCCTGGTACTCTGTCCTTGCCGGCATGGATATGCAGACCATGCAGGTCAAATTCGATAACGGCCAACACCCGTGGTCCGCCAGCCAGGCCTCGTTCCGCTTCCAGACTATACATCTGCTATGGACAGACATCCTCGCTTCCACGGCGCTTGAGAGGCTCCCTCGACTGGAGCCGTTCCACCAGCAGCTTCTCATCGGAGACAATCCCGTCCTCCAGGCCTGGGACTTCTTTGGCTGCCACAACTGGGTCCTTCTCATCATCAGCCAGATCGCTGGGTTCCAGGCCTGGAAGAAAGAGATGAAGCGGACAAGGACCCTTTCCATGATCGAGCTAGTCAAGAAGGGCTCGTGCATAGAGTCGAGGCTCCGAGCCGGCATCACAGAGCTCGACCAGGTCATCCAGGACACGCGCCACGACCCGTACGATCCCAGCGCCCGGGCGCCCGACCAGCCGAACCTCGGCTACGGCTTCCAGACCATCACCGGGCTCGGGCAGCAGCAGCAGCAGCAGCAGTCGAGCGTCGCGCAGGCGATCCACACCAAGATCTGGGCCAAGGCTGCACTGACCTACGTCGCCGTCGTCGTGTCCGGCTTCCAGCCGGCGCTGCCGGATATTCAAAACAACGTGGCCGAGACCATCGAACTGTTTCGAGAGCTTCCCAGTCCGCTGTGTCTCAGGACCATGGTCTGGCCGTTTGCCGTCACGGGCTGCCTTGCTATGCCGGAGCAGGAGGGCTATCTCCGCAGCATGGTCAGCGACATGGACGGTATGGAAGTGTTTGGCACGGTGAAGGAGGCTCTACGAATCATGGAAACTGTCTGGGAGCACCGCAATTGCATCGATGCAGACCTCTGGGACATTGCTACTTGCTTCAACGTGCTTGGTCATGCGTCACTACTGGTGTGATGATCGTTCTGCCAAAAGCAGTTGCGATGATCTATCTGATTATACAAGTCCACAAACCGAATAGCTCCGAGCCAGCGGGCGCGGGCAAAGTCATGTACCGTTGAAAGGGAGACTGGTCGCCTTTGAACCAGTCCACAGACTCATGCGTCATGGCTGCCCATTCCCTCCAAGCAAATGTCGCAAGGCTCCAGGCCCGGGACCGAAAACCAGTCAGTCCACATATTGACTCCACGAGAACATTTCTGAAGCGGGCACGAATTCGTGGTGGTCATGTTGATGGATGGCTTGTCGACCAAGCTGTATGTCAGACGAGACGAGTTGATCCGAAGCTCGTCTAGAGTTATGTCCAAAACTTCGACTGTATTTTGGTCAATATGACTGGATGCAACAACGAGCTGTAGTCAAACTGGTGAGCGGAGAACTCGTCTTGGGTGCGCAGCTACTCCTGCTTGTACAATCTTCTAACGAGCACGTCAAGATGAGGTTTACCAAAAATGGAACATAATGGGATCATGGTTAAAAGCATGACACCACACGTTCATATAAGCGTTTCTCCGTGTAGTATTCATTGCCGTACCACAAGAAGGCAAGCCTAGAAATAACACCGCGACGTTGACTCAAATATCTAAGGCTACCAGCAAGAAAACATCAGTAACAAATCGAGCCCTTATGATACTCGGGTTAAATAATCACGTGCTTGAAAATGATAGGCCGTGTATGAGACCCCGGTCATACTCCGATCATGGCACCTTCGCTAAGCTGCCTCATTGGATATAGCCCAGAAAGGAAAGCTGCCAAGACCGTAAGCAGTAGCAGGCGATAACGGCAATAACGGGCGATCGATACCCCAGCAGGCAGCAACGTCGAGAAACATCACCATATTAGCTATTTGCAGCATTGGATTCAAAGACGCAGGGAGCCTCAAATAATCGTGTTTCGGATACCAAAAAGGCCCACATGAAATAATGATGCTTCCAAGGTGGTTTACTTCCACATCGCTCCTTTTCTTTACCGGAACTTGCGCATCGTCGTCTTTGCCCGCACATGCGAAGCAGAGGTCGTTTGGCCCCAGCATCGAAACGGCGGTCAAAAATGGACCGCAGATATTCAACGCCGTGAACAATGCCATGCGCCAGTTTGGCTCGTCGCTGCACCACAATGGTATGTCCTTTTTCCAGGCGACTGTGCCGGCGGGCACCGTATTGTACCACGGCGGCCGCGACGCAGACGTGCCAGAAGGTCTCGAATGGCTTGCCTTCGAGATCGAACACGCAGAGGACTTTGCCCGGGGCAGACTGAGACCGAAAGATAACTCTAGCAAAACAACGCTTCCAATGCCAGGTCCCGGCCACGCGGAGCAGTGGCCGCTACACCCGCGCCAACAGCAGTCCGAGTCCAGGTCGACAAGAGCTTCGCTGATCGCCCCGGGTATCAACGGCGGTAGAGCAATCTCGGATGAATGGGATCCGGACAAGTGGATATTTGTCTCAGGATATCTCCATGTATACCAAGCTACCCGTCCGTTGAACCTGGTGTACATCGACGGAATGGCCGCCGGCAAGACGAGCATAGGAACAGACGACGCGCAAGACTTCATACTAGTCGGGAACAAAACCCGGCATTTCATGGAAGATTTCAAGCGCGCGCACGACCTCTGCGCCTGGGCGGACAAGTGGCAGATTGACGGCTTCATCCGCATGGAGCCCGGTTTCGAGATCGTCTACTGCAACTTCCGCGACGGCGGCGTCAACCAGTTGTCCGCGCTGCGCCGACCGCGCGACATGTTCACCATGGAGGATTTGGAGGCTGACAAGTTCGAATGGGTTCGTGCCGCCTCCCAACGGTACCACGGCATCGGTGGCGACCGCGTCGTCATAGACTACTCCTCCATGGTGTCCGCCTTTTTCTACCCGCTCAACCTGACGAACCCGAACACTACGACACCTGAGCTTCCCAGGTTGTTGAACGCAAACCATGATCAGCTGGCAGAGATCAAGGCTCACATAGAGACAGCGACGCTGGCGAAGAAAGAGAAAACACTTCAGGACACAGACTGGCAGGGAGTGACTGACATAATCGTTGCTCGATATGCCGACGTACTTCTCGGGATGGCGAACAGCGATACCGCCGAAGCAATGAAGAGAGCCTTGGGTCACCAGATCTACACGTTCACTGATTTCTCGACTGATGACGTTGACTGGGAAGAATCCGAAGGTATATGCGCGAGGCATTTCCTCGAGGGGACAGTGGCGACGACGGCCGAGGAGGAAATGATTTATGCTGGGATCATGGCCACGACCCAGCTCATATGCGGGACGCTGTTCCAGGCGTACAAGCTGGTCCAGCCCACGGATTCAGGTGACGAGTCTCTAGCCGGCGCGGTCTCTCTCGTCAGGGATCTGATGGACAAGCTGCACTGGTCGAAATGGAAGGAGTGCGGTGGGTGTGGACCTGGCGAAGTTTGCTTCATCGCCATGTGGCCATTTGGAAACGTCGAGGATCACTATAACCCATCCTGTACGAACGCCTCCGCATCATTTGACAGGTATTCGTACTGGAACTGGGAATGGGATTGGATGTGAAGAAGAGCTTGGGCAAAGACTGGTGTGATATAGAGGCGTCAATTTCAACGGGTTCTGCTTCGGAATTGTGGCATACAGCCGTGGGTTCTAAAGCAAATAGGGGGACACAAATAAACCAATATGTCTGGTGGTTTGAGACTGGCGATTGGCATCTGGCGATGGGACAGCTTGGCGCCCAGTGAATCAGTTTGGGGTCCGGGCGACGGCATATGATAGCTCGAGTCATTTCATCCAATGTGCTGCGCGCCTTCCGTTTGTTCCCTACCTATCAGCCAGCCGGGTCCTCGAAGCACACAAAGAAATAGCCGTCAAGCTTATGACGGTCGGTAACGAAAGCATTCCCAACAGCATCAAAACAACTTCCGGAGTGGCGCAATGGCTTAGCGCATTGGACTTTTATGAGATACCATGGTAAATCCAGGGGTTGGGGGTTCGAGTCCCCCCTTCGGAGTATTTTTTTGTTGTTTTTTAATTGTCAAATACACTTTCTATTCTTTTGCAGCCGGGGCAGATGGTTGTTAGTTGATGTATTCGACGCCCCACGGGCGTTTGGGATATACCGTTCACATTGTCTGCTTGATGTCGCGCATATGTTAATAATCAGCTTCGAGTTTCCCATAGCACTCGTGACAATCATACTACTAGGTTAGGTAGCTAACCTAGATGTATTTGTTGTTGATTCCATCTAAGAACCTTTGTCTGAGATATTCCGCTTGTGTCGCCTGTTTGGCATATGTTATATCATCGCTCTTATGTACAATATGGCCGAGACTTTCTAGAAAGAGGGTCGTGACACAGTGAGTCTATATGTCACGGCATATATAGTGACCCAATCAAGGAAAAGTAAAAGATGTATGTATCCTACTTTGTACTGTTCACAAACCCCGAACAACCCGACAAAGGCACCGGCCAATCCAAGATAAGCAGTTTGTAAGTCCGGTCCAGCCAGACATCGCCAATGCATCAGATTGCTCACAATGGCAGAATATGGTCACGTCGCAATAAGCATAAGATGGCTAATGCCAAGACCTCATGGGTGTATATTATGGTTTTCTCATTCGCCCGTCCATGCACACAAGTGTAGAGATTCAAGGTGACGATTGCAAAAACAAGCATTTTTATATGACGGCAATTCCCACCATCCCGCAGCCCACGGGGACTTTCATGGGCCGATGGGTGCACCCACATGCCTGGAGGAGAGGCGAGAAAAGAAAGAAAGGCCAAGATCTCGACATGGGTAACGATTGCGGATGGCGGTTGTCGGTCGCAGGCAAAAGAGGCCCAACAAGGTCTCGGCACGCAGCTCTTTTCAGGGACAGTTGCCTTTCTGGGGTAGGTTGATCCGCAGCGCTGCCACCCCAATCGCGCAGCACCGACCGGCCGACCAGCATCTTATGAAACATCCTCTTCCGGGACAGCGTCGGAGGGCGACTCTGCGCTTGGTTTCCTGCTGTGAATGATACGCTTCGGGGAGGACGCAACTGTGTTCAAATGGGTTCCAGGCAGAACTAGAACTTGATTGCCCTGGGATTGGATTGATTGCATTGTCTTTTCGCTTGTCCGTCTGCCCATGTCATTTTTGCCAAGCCCCGCCTCAAATCAACAGCTCCCATACTACACACGTGTTCTAGATACGACAACGACCGTCCAAGCTTTTTCCCCTCCAGGTCGGCTGTTCAGCCTATAATCAATATAATATCCTTTTTAGATTGGGTCGTGACTCTACATGAACCCAACAGCCCGAAACCGGTCTTGTATAAGAAGATTGTAATCCCCTCCTCCTCTCGGACTTTTGTACCCAGCGAGAGGGATTCGAAAAACCCACTCGTTATTGCTTGGCTGGTATAATTGGGTCCAGAGATCACTCTTGAAAGGGAAGAGATCCAGAATTATTTCCACTGCCATGATCGCCATGAAGCTGCCCAAGACCATGTGGTCCTGGGCCATCGAGGCCAACGGCGAGCCGCGCGAGGCCCTGCGGCTGTCGCAGGTGGCGACGCCGCCCTCGCCGCCCGTCGGGTCCAACCTGCTGATCCGCGTGACGCACGCGGCCATCAACCCGGCCGACACGTCGCTCTTCACGGCGTGGATCCCGTTCCGCGGGCGGCCCGGGTTCGACTTCATCGGGTCCGTCGTCGGCTGCGGGCCCAAGGTCCCCGTGCAGATCAAGCGCCTCATGTCGGGCATGGAGGTCGTTGGCGCCCTCGGCCTGTCCCAGATCCTCTGGGGCGCCGGCACCCTCGCCGAGTACGTCCAGGTCCCCGCCGAGATGTGCGCCCTCAAGCCGCCCGACCTGACCACGGAGCAGGCCCTGGGCTGCGGCATCGCCGGCCAGACCGCCGTCATGGTCATGCGCGAGGCCGGCGCCGTCGAGGGGCTGCGGGTCCTCGTCAACGGCGCGAGCGGCGGCGTGGGCACCATCTTGGTGCAGATCCTAAAGGCCAGGGGGGCGCATGTGGTGGGGGTCTGCTCAAAGAAGAACGAGAGTCTGGTGAAACGGCTAGGCGCCGACGAGGTAAGTTCTGTATCGATTCTCGTTCTCGAGCATTCTTCGATGGGAATGCGCGGCTCAATTTCGGACAGGTGATTGATTACACGGCGCACGACAATCTGCATGGATATCTCGCAGATTCGTACGCCAGCGAGCCCTTGGACCTCATCATTGATTGTGTGGGCGACGACACGTTGTTCACCGACTCACCGGAGTATCTGCAGCCCAAAGGCAGGTTCATAGAGATCGTGCCCGGCAGGACACAGGGTATTTATCCTTTCATCATGAACCAGCTGAGGCCAGTCATTCTCGGCGGCACGCCACGGCAATACAAAATTCTCGGGCTTGCGCCCTCTGGTAAATTCGCCCACGAGTTGGCTCAGTGGATCGAGGATGGCCTGGTCAAGGAAATCCTGATCGACTCGGAATACGCAATGAAGGATGTCGTGAGCGCCTACGAAAAGCTCATGACGAAGAGAGCAGCAGGAAAGATCATCATCAAGATACAAGATTGAGCAATCCTTGGGGCCTAGGTTGGCGAGCCACTCCTAGAATCGGGTTTGTACCGAAATCCCGGTAAGCTGGCCACGCGCAACATTATAACAGTCGGAAAACTTATACCGTGCTTCGTAGGGCAGATAGTGTTCGCATTCCCGGTTCTTGGCCGCTCTTCGCTAAGCTGTGTTCCCGCCTGTTTCTTTGAGACTAGGGCGGAGGATCAAGGAGAACCATTATCTCGACATCGATCGCCCCCTGACGGAGTTAGCTATGTTGGAGTACGGAACGGAAGTTGTTTAATTGTCTAGAATTTGGATCGGCGCATTTGAGCATCTCATGGGTATTTAACAATGCAACACGTAGATTTTGTATTTCTTTTGCATCGAGTCCGTTTATTGAATTACCGAACGAAGTTCATTCGGGACAAACACATGTTTCCTAAACTCTCCAAGCTGGGCCACACCGATTTATAACAACTTCACATGCAAGTGATACTACATCAGCGATTGTACATGATCACTGGGAACCATAAATGATAGTTGGGTAGTAGCATCGCGACACAAACCAAACTGTCGGGCTTCGCAGGAGTCCAACGTACAGAAACATACAGACGAACGGATTAAGCGAAAACAAGTACTACCTACCTCACATCTCACACAATGTTCGCTTAGCACTTCTCGTTACGAGTCCCCGCAAGGATTCTCCAACAAACCTCTGGGGATGCTTGGGGAATGTCCAGGGCTGTGATTTGCGGGGATATATAAGTCTAAACTGACAAGAGCATGCTCAGGCATTTCCCCAGGATTCGGCAAGCGAATTCCGAATTTCCACCAGTCAGGCGGCGCTGCTCGAATGCATCACGCCCCGTCTGCATCGGCCAGCCGGTCCAGACACTCCCACCAAATCGTTCGACGCCATACGACCGGGTCAAATTCAACGAATGATGTGTTTCTATGCTTCAAAGTTCCAACATGTGGAGACATGCTGACTATGGGATTTGTGCTGCAAGAGTAGAGGCCTGTCTTTTTGGCCGTGCAAGCTGTGAGCTAGGTCTGAATTGTCAGAGAGCATAGACTTCAAGCCACCAGGATGGACGGCCCGAAATTCCATCGCTATACCCCAATTGAAGCTCGACATCTCGGACTACTGCCAAGGAGAAATGAAGAGGGGAATACATATTTGGGGGTTGGTCCCCTACCGATTGCTCTGTCGTGCCGTGATTGTTCTGTTTCGCCTGGAGCAAGGCTGTCCATTTGGTTTTCTCCAGATCAGCGTGGAAAGAAGACGAATAGGTTTTCAGGAGTATCAAAAACATGGCGGAAGCAACTAGGAAAGAGCAAGGCGCGACCGCCGCTGAGATTGAAAAGAGCAATGTCGAATACACCAAGTTTGACCAGGCCGACCTACACGACAAAGTCCTCAACGCCGAAGCCCGACAGGCGACCGACAACGAACACTCATTGACTCTATGGCAAGCCCTCAAGACCTACAAGAGAGCTGCCATATGGTCTGTCCGTGAGTACCACACCGCGATCGTCCAGATAAGTGGAAAGTGCTAATACTTGGAGAAGTGATCTCCATGACCGTTATCATGGAGGGATACGACGTGACTCTTCTAAGCTCCTTTTTCGGATATCCTGCCTTCAGGAGAAAGTACGGCGAGTACCTCAATGAGGAGTCCGGATACCAGATCAGCGCGCAGTGGCAGACTGGCCTCAACGATATCAGCGCCGTCGGCAATGTCATCGGCGCACTCCTCAACGGCTGGCTCACTGCAAAGTTCGGGCACAGGAAAGTCATCATGGGCATGATGGTATTTCTCAGCGCTTTCATCTTCATGACCTTCTTTGCACCCACAATCGAGGTCCAGTTGGTCGGTCAGTTCTTCTGCTCCATCCCATGGGGTGTCTTTGCGACCACTGGCCCCGCGTACGCTGCCGAGGTTGCACCACTTGCACTTCGAGCATATCTGACCGCATGGGTCAACGCATGTTGGTGCATTGGTCAGTTCATCTCCGCCGGCGTTCTGAAAGGTCTCGTCAACAACCCTACCGACTGGAGCTATCGCATTCCTTTCGCAGTGCAGTGGGTCTGGCCAGTCCCTCTCTTCATTGCCGCGTTGCTGGCGCCCGAGTCTCCGTGGTTTCTGGTAAGAACAGGTCAGCTCGAAAAGGCCCGCCGATCTCTCGAGCGGCTATCGGAACCGCATCACAATGTTGACTACGATGCCTCGATCGCACTGATGGTCCACACCGACAAGGTGGAGAAGGAGGAACGCGCTGGCGTTACCTACTGGGACGCGTTCAGGGGAACCAACTTGCGCCGGACGGAGATTGCTTGCATGTCTTTCCTTTCTCAGATCACAAATGGCGGTATCCTCTGCTATAATGGATCCTTCTTCTTCCAGCAGACCGGAATCAGCGACGATACATCGTACTCCATTGGACTGGGCGGTACTGCCA